CAAGCTATTTAGCTCTCATCAGCTCTAGCCATACCCTTACATGCCCAGGTTCAAATCCCAGCAAGGGTATGGCTAGAGCTGATGAGAGCTAAATAGCTTGAAATAGATCTATATTAGTCTCCCTTTATTTATCAGCACAAATACAGTATGTATGTATGTATGTATGTATGTATGTATGTATGTATGTATATGATTATGTATGGTTTTGTAGTTTTTCATGGGTGTAGCATGCATATATATACATACATACACACACACACACATATACATGTGTGTGTGTTATGTGTACACATGTACATATATACAAATACACAAGAACATATGCATATGTACAGCCAGTCATGGAGAGAGATTTTTATATTATTTATTTAGCCATCCCATTTGCAAAGCGATTTAAATTTAATAAATTTCGCATGCCTTCCACATTTTTGCCTTTTAATTGACCTATTCTGGGGTTCGGTATGTCTGTCAATGATATGCGTACATTTATGCCTAAATAAAGGGGGGGAACATACGTGCGTGTTATATTCTTGCCCATGTCTGCAAGGTGGGAGTCCATATAACTGGAATAAAATCAGTCAATAAACATTTATAGCCGTGGTTGGGGGGGAAAAAAAAAAACCCAGCCCCTTCTTCTTCAACCGTAACGCCTTGAGTGGAGCCTCCTTGGGCAGAAGCAGTCTACCCTCCCCTGCGCCCACCGCCTCCAGAATGGCTACATCCCGGCCTCGCCCGCCGCCGCCGCCGCCCTTCCTGGCCCCCCAGGCGGACTCACCGGCCGGGCTCCCTCCATGAGGGCGCCGCGGCACCAGCCGGGCCGGTCGGGAGGCGCAGCCGGCAAAGCGGGCCGCGAAACCATGGCAACGCGCGGCCTAGGCTCGCCGAGACGCCGTCGGGAGCCCTGGAAACTGGCCACGCCCCCTTAAAGGAACCGCTTCCCATTTCTTTCCACACTCATCCAACCGTGCTTTGCTTAGCGTAGGATAAACGGGGATATAGCAAGCAGGGAGGGGGGGGGATTGTCCCCAAATGTGGGGGGGGGACGGGACGCTCTTCTATTGCAGGAAGCCCACCCTGCCATGACCCACGGGTGAAAATGGAGAGAAGCTAAGCTTTGAAACCTGGTTTTCAACACTGAAGGCATACGCAGGAGAAACCAACATGCAACCTTGGATCCTGCGCCATCCTTGTCTTAAGGAGGCAAGCCAGGTTTCAGGCTCCAGCATCGTCCCACAGGGATGTCCCATCGTGCTAGGATGCCCTTCAAACCTGGCCCCTTTGTGTGGACTCCGGCTCCCAGAATTCCTCAGCAAGCATGCTGGGAATTGAAGTCCACACATCTTGAAGCAACCCAAGTTGAGAAAATGTTGTTCTGATAATTTCTCCCCCAGTATCAGCTCCAAAGGCCAGTGACAGACAACCATGTGTGTGAGCTCAAAGCCCATCTGAATAGCATTGCACCAAGAAAACCAGCTGCTTTAACCACGGTTTATAAAACACACCATGAATATATGGCAAAAAAAAACAACAACCCACCATGTTTTGCCTAGTGCGTGCTAAGCCAAAGACACATAGGACAAGCTAGAACAACACATACAATTTCTTGAGTCTAGTTTCTGATTTTTTTTAATTATTCTGAATCTCTATATTGTCTTCTGTTTTCACAGCCTTCCTCAAGTATCACATTCCTTTTTCTGGTCAATTTTAAAACACGATCCAAGACGTTTGACAGTTATAGAGTTTGCAAACACAGGGCAATATCAATTTTGGGTCTTAGTAACAAAGGAACCATAACGTGGCTTGATTAACCTGGGGTGTATCATGAAAGCATAGCCAGCAAACCATTTTAAGGAAGGCAGAACTGAGCAGCAACACAATACAGGAAGCCCTCGACTTACTACCACAAGTGGTATCAGAACATCCGTCAGTAAGCAATGCAATCATTAAGTGAGTTGTGCCTGATTTTTTTGACCTTTTTTTTTGCTGCGGCCATTAAGCAAATCAGCCTCCCACATTGATTTTGCTGTCAAAAGCTCCCTGGGAAAGTCACGACTGGTGATCTCATGGCCCTGGGATGCTGGTTGCCAAGCGCACACATTTTGATCCAGTAACCGTGGGGACTCTGCAACAGTTTGTAAGTACAAGGACCAGTTGTAAGTTACATTTTTCATCATTGTCCTAACTTTGAACAGTCATTAAACCAACGGTTATAAGTGGAGGACTACATGTATAAAATTCACATTTCCTAAGGCATCAAAGTGATGGAAGATTTAAACCATTTGACTTTTTTTCTTGCAAGAGAACAGGAAAACATTAACTTCAGAAAAGGTCAGATGGAGACATTTTGGACAAAAAAGACAACATAAGAACATCACTGGTCTACCACACTCCAATGGATCTATTATTTGACCAGTTAATAAATTTGGGACTACCCAAAATTGGGAGACGATGCCAACAAGCCAAATGCCGGCTGAGAAATTCTTATTATTTTGTGCAAACTGGCTTAATTCAAGGTGGAACAAGATTCAGAAATTGACTAGAACGCTTTTCAATTTTTCCTGAGTAATTTTTACCAAAGGGGGGGGGGGAGTGGTTAGGTTGCTGTCTGTTTGGTCTCCAAAACACCAACCCCTGTGATTGTATCAATCACACACCAGAGCGAGTCGTGACTTGGAATGTTTCTGTCCTTTAAACCTTCCCACCAATGAGCAGCAAACGGGTCTGGAGATGTGCAAAGAAAACCAGGAAGCTGTGTCAGATTCCGCCTCCCTGACCCCAGTTAATGAGATCTCTGTTAACAGGAAATAGAAGCTTTCCAGTGTCACCATCACCAGCTCCTAGCAGTTCTTAAATTTATAGCTTCAGCTTGGAAGATTTCACATTTATCCATCAGGAAATCATTTTTCCATAAAGGCTTTGTGCTGGGATACTAGGTGGTTGACAATCTTGTCCTCAAGCTCTATCCCTTGGGCGATTTCCTCCTCCGAAATGGACAACGGGGTTTCTGAATCCTTAGTCACAACGATCACGGCGGTTCTTCGCGAGTCCAAGGCGTTGGCAATGACTACCTGATGGTTGTATTTGGCCAGGGCCTGCCTGGCTTTTTCAACCAGGATCGAAGGATCAGTTTCCAACTTGAAGGAGATCACAAACGCCTCGGGGGCCCATTCCTTAACCAGAGGAGACAGCATTTTGGGTACCATCTTCATGGTTATCTGCAACAAGGGAAGCAGAGAGAATTTAGCAAAAGGCAGGAATACCTTTTCCATCCAGAGAAAAAAAAATAGCAATGATGCTACTAATGGCCCCCTTCAGGTGCTTCCCCAAAGCACCTGAAGGCAGGACAAGAAACGGATGGAAACTAATCAGAGAGAAGCAGCCTAGAACTAAGGAACAATTTCCTGAGAGTAAGGAAGTGGAAGTGCTTCAGACTTATAGGTGCTCCAACACTGGGGGCTTTTAAGAAGAGATTGGACAGTCATTTGTCTGAAATGGTATAAGGTCGCCTGCTTGAGCAGGGGGTTGGACTAAAAGACTTCCAGGGTCCCGTCCAACAGTTATTCTCTTATCTCCTTTGGCCCCTCTTTCCAGCTCTCTCATCTTTCCCCTTTTTCCACTTTCCTGTCTCATAGCTGCCATCCTTGTGGAAGGGTGTCCCACATCACCTCCTCTTACCTGGAGGGGCCCGTCAGAAGACTGGATTTTATGTTCGGGCATCTCTGAAGGGGGGATGTAGAAATCCGACACAGCCGCTGCCAAGTAGAACATGGCGCTGGAACCTGACGGGCCAGAATGAGTGAAAAATACGGGTATGAAAGGAAAACCAGCTGCTCCATCCTTCCAAAATAAAACTATAAAAGCAAAGCTACAGTCGGCCAGCCACCTGAGAGGCCTAGAATTCCCAGGCTCCTAGGCACCTCGACCAATCGCATGTATACTGTAGTATTTCCATGTACTGCATTTACTTTTACTGCAATAGCGTTAAGTACCGTTTGCATGTGCTGCGTTTCCACGCATTGTACTGGGTCTATTTGCACCTACTGTATTGGACTTACAGCCATAGTATTCTTCCACGTAGGGTTTGCATGCATTGCATCAGCTGTCCTTGCAACTATTCTAAAAGCAAATGTTTACGTGTGTGCGGTGTTCCATTGAAGTGGCGTGTCTCTGCATGCCTGTCTTGCATTAATCTTATCCCCGTCCTGCCTTTCCCTGCATGTGAAGTAAAGGCCTTTCCCTCCCAGCGGGGCCTCACCGAGCGGGGCCAGGGCGCGGGCGGCGGCGCGCAGCAGGGCCAGGTACTCGGCCAGCCCGGCGAACTCCAGGGCCAGGAAGGCTCCGTCGTTCCGGGCCCGGCTGTAGGCGCGCAGGGCGGGTAGGAGCGTAGGGAGCGCCCCGTCGCGCACGCCCACCGCCCCGTCCTCCTCGTGCACGCGCAGCAGGTCCAGCAGGGCAGGGCCGGGCGGGGGCAGCACGCGCGCCCAGGGGAAGGCCGAGCGCGCCCGGTGCAGGAAGCAGACGGAGTAGCCGGCCGCCGCCAGACGCTCCGCCGAAGCCGCCCCGCGCCGCCCGCTGCTGAAGTTCTCCAGGAAGCGGACCGCGCGGGCCTCCAGCGGCACCTGCGTCCCGCCGGACGTCACCAGCGCCACGCGGCGCCCGCCAGCCCGCTGCGCCTCCGCCCAGGCCCGGACGCGACGCTCTGCCTCGGCCGCCGCCGCCGATTCCCGCTCCCAGGTCACCGTCGTCGTCCCCGCCGCCGCCATTGCTGCCACCCCGACCGGAAGACCCGCCTCCCGCGCCTGCGCTCTAATTTCCTAGTTAAAGCGATCTTCCGGGAAGCATAAGCGGAAAAGGTGGCTTTTTCCGGCCAAATCTTCATGTCACGATGGCCTCCGCTGTAAGTCCCGCCTCTTGCACTCGTCCAAGTCAAGAGCGCCTTTCCGGGAAACAACCGGAAGTGGAGTCTGGAGGTTTGGTTTTTCTAGCCGAGGGGTTCATGGCATGGCTGCCGCTGCTTGTTTGCGCCTGCGTGCCACGCCAGTCCCAGCCACAGCACCGCTGTCCCGGGAACCATAACCGGACGTGACGTATAAAAGTGTTTCTTTCTCGAGCATGATGGCGGCCGCCGGAAGCCCCGTCTCCCCCTTAGCAACGGCGGCCCTAGCAACGGCGGCAGGAGAAGATGGCCATGCAGACGGAGTGGCTGGTGCCCCTGGCTCAGCCCCGGCAGAAGAAGCGGCGCTGCGAGCTCTGCCTCGGCCCCGCCAACGTCCGCTGCGCCGCTTGCCTGGTCACCTACTACTGGTGAGTGGCCCGCAGGCGGCGCTCCGTCCGGGAAAGCGCCCGGGGGGGCCTGCAGCCGTTGCAATTCTCCCTTTTCCAAGTTGCTCAGCGAAAGATACGAGTGTAAAAAGTAGGTCAGAAGGACGTAACAGGTGAAAAACATGCGCTATTAGATAGATAGATAGATAGATAGATGCATAACATACATGCATATATACATACATGTACACGTGTGTAACACTCAACAGTGAGCAAATAAAATAGATATAAGATGGGTTATAAAATGTAAAAATACGGAAAACAGATTTGATATCATAATAACATATGCAGGCAGGAAGATATGCCCCAAAGTACATGTAATCCTCAGCTTATGCCCAAAATTTCCATTGCTAAGTGAGACAGTTGCTAAGTGAATTGTGCCCCACTTTATGACGTTTCCCAACCCAATGGTTCCGCCAAGTCGCCCTTTTCAGTGACGATGAAACGTGTTAAGTTGAGCACCCGGTGCATCTGCCTTTGTATCTGCATTTCGGTTTCCTTACCTGGTGACAGGGGCGGTCCTCGACTTACGGCCACAGTGGGGACCAGAATTCCTGTTGCTAAGCAAGGTGGACATTAAATGATTCATGCCCTGTTTTATTCACTCCCCCCATCCCCCTTTCGCCAGTGATGTGGACCACCAGAACGCCGACTGGGTCAGCGTCCATGCCAAGATCTGCCAGCTGCTCATCCCTCTGCGGGCGGCTCCCCCCTTCTACACCTCGGAGAAGGAGAGGAAACTCGGGGAGGAGCAGAGGCGGAACCGAGAGGTAGGCCAGGCCGCCAGCGGCGTCCAACGCAGGCAGTTCTCAGCTTACGACCACAATCGAGCCCAAAATTTGCTAAGCAGGACAGTCCTTAAGTGAGCTTTGCCCTGTTTCACAACCTTTCTTGTTGCAGTTGTTAAATGAATCACTGCAAGTTAGTCCTACGGTTGTCGAGTGGGCCCGGCTTCCCCCTTGATCCTAAATTCAAATTTAATGAATTTATATGCCGCCCAATCCCGAAGGACTCTGGGCGGCTTACAGAAATACATATCTAAAAGGATAAAAATTAAAAAATAAAGAAGAGAAGCAGAAGATTCCGCTTGTCAAAAGGTCTCAAAAAGGGGACCACGTGACCCCGGGACACTGCGACCGTCATAAATACAAGTCAGTCGCCAAGCGTCTGAATTCTCATCCCGGGATGCTGCAAGTCGTTAAGTGTGAAAAACGGTGCTGTCACTTTTTTCAGGGCCGTTGTAACCTCGAATGGCTGTAAGTCGAGGACTGCCTACGCCACACCCAGTCCTCAAAATCTACTGCAAGGGGCGGGGGGGGGGGAACCATCTAACCCCTCAATTTTTGCCCCCACAGATCTTCCTGGCTGACGTGACCTACGAGACGGCTCAGATGTTCCTCATCGACGGCCAGTACGAAGACGCCATCCCAGCCGCCCTGCATTCCCTCAAATTCAGCATCAGCATCTATGGCTCCAGTGGGGTGGAGCTGGTCCCCCCCTACCTCATCTTAGCCGAGACCAGCTTGGGTGAGCCACGCGGGGGGGGGGGGGGTGTCCTATGGGACGCACAAGTCACCTCCAAACCTCCCTCCCAAGTGGTCCCTTCTGCTTTAATTGTTCTTTTCTTCTGGCAGCTCTGCGCACGCGCACACTGGGAACAGGCTCTTCCCCTGCCTCCCTTCTGTCTGTCTCCGAAGGCAGCTGATAACTGTCGGATGGCCCTGGCCCCCTCTCTGCCCCCGACACAGAGCCCTCATCATCAGAGCCTTCCCCAGACTCCAGGACTGGCCCATCTTCCTCCCCAACCTCCTCTGCCAGCAGCTCCACTGGCCGATGTTTGACCACAACATTATCTCTCTGTCTATCCCAATCATGCCATATCTGTCATTTCCATCCATCCATCAAATCGCTGCCTATCCTGTTCGAAAGCGACCTTACAGCCTGATTTGTGGTCTTCCCAGCTGGCTTCTGCCAAGCAAAGTCAATGGGGCAAGCGGGATACGTTTAACAACCACGAGTAAAAATGGTCGTAAAATTGGATCCAGGCCTGTGATGCCTTCCTTTATGAATCACCCGGCCCTTCTTTTCTGAGCTGAGTGATGAATGCCGCCCCCGAAGCAGTTTGGGTTTGAGGGTTTCTGCCTCCAGGCCTTCTGCCTCTGCCCAAGCGGAGATTCCTGGCTGATTTCCCGTTCCCTGCATAATGTGGCTGCCTCTTGTTGGTTTTCCAGGCCTGGCTCATCTCTCGCAAGCCGAAGAGTACCTGGCCCAAGCCCAGTGGATCGTCCTCAAGAACCCCCACTGCAGCTACCACGTTCAGTCCAAGCTGTATCGCAACCTGGGGCTCCTGCACGCCGCCAAAGGGAACCTGGAGGAGGCTCTGTACCACCTGGCCAACGACGTAAGGCTCAGTGGGCCGATGCCACCCTTGAGGGCCTTTCTCCCTCTCCTTCAGAGGGGCGCTGCGGAAGGAGCAGCCACCCCAGGGGGGGGGAGGAGGGGGCCACGGCCTGAGCAAGGGAGAGCCGAAAAGGCAGAGTCGTTTCCTGATTAATTAAAACCAGACGGTGAGGGCGACTGAAATCCTTCAGGGCCATGAAAACCCTTCCATGCTTGCCAGCCCTGAATCGACCGCAAAGCGGGTTTGCGTAACCTGGAGGGGTTATTGAGAACTTCCTGCCTTCCCAACCTGATTGGAATCAGATGGGACCTTCGGTTTAAGTCCAGGCACTGCGCACGATCTGAGAGCACCATCTCTGAGAGAACATTTGCAGGCTGAGGGTGAAACCGTGGGGTCCTTGGTGGTCTCTAAGCTGGGTGGGTTCCTCGCAGACGTTTCATGACCCAACTAGGGAACATCACCAGTGCTAGAAGGGAGTGGGGTTTGCGGAAGGGGAGGAGGAGAAAGACTGGGGGGTCCTTGGTGCTTTTCCGGGGTGGGGGGGGGGGTTCTTGCAGATGTTTCATTTCCAAACTACCCCCCACCCCCACCTTCCCCCCACCCCACCGCTTTCCCCATCAGCTTTGAACAAGGGGCCTCATTATGTGTCCCCCCTCAATTCCTCCCCAACGGATTCCACCGCAGGTCTACTTTGCGTGTTGCGCTTTTGGGACGACGCGCCACGTGTCCGTCTCGGGAGGGTTCTTCCACATGGCCAACATCTTCTCCCACAAGAACAAGATGGACATCGTGGATTCCTTGTATTGTGAGGTCAGTGTTCACACGGACACACACGGACACGCGAACGACCTGGCTGGGAGTGAGAACGAGTTCGTCTCAAGCAGTTTAAAAAAAAAAAAGATTTAGGGTTTACGGCACCCTAAAATGTTAGGGTCATGCCGCCCTCCGCCCCCTTGATTAAATTAAAACAACCCTCCTTATTGTTATGGTTGGGGCTTCTGTGGTGTCCCCTCCCCCAGGTGGTGGATCTCTGGTACGATCACTTCAGCCACTTTGTTGAAATCCAGTACCAAAAACTCATCACTCCCGCGGAGGTTGACCTGCTGTCGGTGGAGGATGGGGCGGAGGAGGACGTACTGGGTAAGGAGCCCCCCCCCTTCCCCTCCCCAGATGGGTCAGGAGGATCCGCATCTGGTACACACACACGCACACACACACACACCTGTGGAGAAGACCGGGCCCTGGGTTGCAGATCGTGTGCTGCCTGTAGTGATTCGTATCGTCTCCCCCCCCCAACGTCCCCCGAAGTCCCTGGGGAGTCCCCTGCAGCCTTTCCCACCGTTGGGCCCCCCTCTTTCTTCTTCCTCCAGATGAGAAGCAACGGGCCGAAGCGATGCAGATGCTGAAGTCCATCTTGGCCTTCCGAGAAGCGTCTCTCAGGCAGCAGCCAGAGAAGGAGGCCAAACTGCTGCACGCCTTGGCCATGTTTCATTTCTTGGTCCACGATCTGAAAAAGGTAATTGGGGAAAAGAGCACGAAGTTTGTAGCGTTTGAAGGATGGGAGACGGCTGGAAGAGAGAAAGGCCCCAGTCTCTTCTTGAAAACCTCCAGCGATGGAGCACCTACAACCTCTGGTGGCGGGTTGTTCCACTGCCTAATTGTCCTCACTGTCGGGAAATTCCTCCTCAGTCCCAGGTTGCCTCTCTCCTTCCTTGCTGTTTCCTGCCTTCGGGGGCTTTGGGGAACAGGTGGGTCCCCTCTTCTTTGGGGGCAGCCTCCCAAATGTTTAAAAACCGTGATCCTGCC